CTGACCATGGTATTACTGTGCTCAATTGGCCTGCCAACTCTCCTGACCTGAACCCCATAGAGAACCTGTGGGATATTGTGAAGAGAAAGTTGAGAGACGCAAGACCCAACACTCTGGATGAGCTTAAGGCCGCTATCGAAGCATCCTGGGCCTCCATAACACCTCAGCAGTGCCACAGGCTGATTGCCTCCATGCCACGCCGCATTGAAGCAGTCATTCATGCAAAAGGATTCCCGACCAAGTATTGAGTGCATAACTGAACATGATTATTTGAAGGTTGGTGTTTTTTGTATTAAAAACACTTGTCTTTCATTGGTGGGATGAAATATGCTAATTTTTTGGGACAGGCATTTTGGGTTTTCATGAGCTGTATGCCATAATCATCAGTATTAAAACAATTAAAGACCTGAAATATTTCAGTTGGTGTGCAATGAAAAATAAATGAAAGTTTCATTTCTATCATTACATTATGGAAAATAATGACCTTTATCACAATATGCTAATTTTTTGAGAAGGACCTGTAGATGTTGACAGTGATAGCTTAAGCATAGCCTTTAGTCATTTAATAGAGTCATTTGGTTTTACCCAAAACGTCCGCACATCTACTCGTTCTTATCATCACACTCTTGATTTAGTTCTGACCTATGGTATAGAGATTAAGGACTTGGTAATTGTTCCTCAAAATCCTGTTCTGTCCAACCATTTTTTAATAACTTTGAGTTTACATTAAATGACTACACAGTCACTGAGAGTAAATTTCATCTCAGCAGGTGCTTATCAGAAAATGCTGTAACCAAATTGAAACAATCTCTTCCATCAATGTTTCCTCTGTCTTGCAGAGTAATGCATCGGAGAACAGAGACTTAGATCATCTAGTTGATCATCTTACAACTTCAATGCAAACTTCACTTTATAAAATTGCTCCACTGAAAAAGAAAGTAATCAATCAGAGGAAACTGGCTCCTTGGTTCAATTCTGAGTTACGTACTTTAAAGCAGCATCTAGGAACCAGGAGAGAAAATGGCGCTCTACTAATGTTGAAGAATTTTATTTAACTTGGAAAGATAGTCTGCTAACATATAAAAAAGCTCTCCGTAAAGCTAGAACTTTATATTACTCATCTTTAATAAAGGATAATAAAAATAACCCTAGGTTTCTGTTTAGTACTATTGCTAGACTAATTAAAAGTCCCATTTCTGTTGAACAATGTATCCCTACAACTATAAGTAGTGATGACTTCATGAGATTCTTTATAAATAAAAGTATTTCAATTAGAAAGAAAATTCAAACCATCCTTCCTTCTACTATCTCTAGTCCCCTCTCAAATGAGGCATCTTTAAAAATTTCACTAGAGCCTGATTTATGTTTGGACAGTTTTTGTCCTGTTGAGCTCTGAATTGTCAAAAATAATAATCTCATCCAAACCATCCACATGCCTGCTAGATCTCATCCACATGCCTGCTAGATCCCATCCACATGCCTGCTAGATCCCATCCCAACCAGACTGTTTAAAGAGGTATTCCCCCTAATTAATGTCCGCATTTTGGATCTACTTCATTTGTCTTTAATGAATGGTTATGTACCACAGAGCTTTAAGGTTGCTGTAATTAAACCTTTACTTAAGAAGTCTGACCTTGATTCAGAAATTCTGACCAACTATAGACCTATATCTAATCTACCTTTCATCTCAACAATTCTAGAGAAAATAGTTGCAGGTCAGTTGCATGAACATCTACAAAGAAATAATCTGTTTGAAGAGTTTCAGTCAGGGTTTAGAGCTCATCACAGCACAGAAACGGCACTAGTAAAAGTCACTAATTATATTCTCATGGCCTCAGACAATGGACTTGTGTCTCTACTGGTCCTGTTCGACCTCAGTGCTGCGTTTGATACAGTTGATCACAATATTTTACTACAGAGGCTTGAATATGAAATTGGGATTAAAGGAACAGCTCTAAAATGGTTTAAATCATATCTATCTGATAGATATGCGTATACACACATACACGCATGCGCGCATACGTGTATACATACATACACGCATGCGCGCATATGATATGAAAAACCTTTATCACAATATGCTAATTTTTTGAGAAGGACCTGTATATATATATATATATATATTTTTTTTTTATGCATAAAATGTTTTTAAAAATCGTTTCCACCCTATGTCCCCGACCTGTCCAGGTCTGCCTGTCTGCCGGTGCTCTGGGTCTGGTCTTCAGGAGCATGTGAGGCCAGGGCTCAGGCTCACATGCTTCAAGGGGTCAGTAGCTCGTATGATCCGCTGTAGTGACCAGCGAAACTCGGAGCACGAGCGCGCAAGACCAGCGCTCGCCCGCCACTCGCCCGCCCCAGCCTCACATGCTCCCGCAGGTCGGCAGCACGAAGGATCTTTGCGGTAACTGGCAGAGCTCGAAGTCAGGGAGATGATGCGCTGCCTGAGTGGGCTCCGAGGAGAGGACCGGGGGGACAGGCGGAGCTCCATCTAGCTCGCTCTGAATTTGGCCGTCAACCACCAAGCACAAAAAAACACCTGCACTTCAGCATTAGACCACGGTGTTGTCATTATTATTATTTTTTTTTTCCATGTATGTGAATGTTCCTGTAAAGTGTCCTGAGACAACTTTGTTGTGATATGGTTCTATATAAATAAACTGAATTGAATTATAGTTTTTAAAATTTAAAAAATAGGTTCAGTGGCTTTTCGAATTCTAGTTATTGCAAATGACGGATCAGGTTGTTTTGAAAGTTTCTCAAACAACCAGTGACTCCACCCCTAGACCAATCAGTGACTGACAGTGTTCTGACATCACGTTTTGGTGCCAGTTTGGCTTGCTTGAAACCCCAAAGAATATGGTACTGAAAAAGGGGACCGGTTCCACGAACCATTACTAGTGGAAAAGCCTTGGAACCGTGCCGAGTCGAGTCGAACCGTGCTGTACCGTTACTAATGGAAAAGGGGCATTTGTTTACATCAGGGTTGTTCAGTGCAGGTCCTTGAGGGCCTCTATCCTGCATATTTTACAAGTGTCTCTGTTACAAAACACCCAGTTTGGATAATTTATAGACTTTTGTAGAATTTAAAGAGAGGATTTAATCATTTAGTCCAGTGTGTTGGAGCAGAGAGGATTAGACACCACTGGTTTACATGATTGAATTAAACAAAAAATGGTGGTGCTGGGCGAGCAAGACAATCTTGCCAAATCATGACCTTGAGACATGACTGTAGACAGGTCTACCACCTCCTGCAGCCGTTTCCACTCAACTCACCTGGTTGTGAATGTACTTGGTGTGCAGGCCATGCTCATCGTCTCCAATTCCTTCCACGTCCTCCTTGTATTTGGGGCTGATGACCACAATGATTAGCACTGATTTCTGTCAAACAACATCACTGTCAGCTTTTAGGTGTCTGTGACTAGTTTTCTGTTCAGACACAGGAGTCCACCTTACGTCATTCAGGTAGCGGTCCATCCATTTAGCGATGCCCATTCTTCTGATGGGGGTGTCAAATATGTCAATCTGTGGAGAGATGTGGTGAGCGTTTGTGTAACGTGTGAAAAGATTCAGACATGATGGTACTTACTGCTGGATTGAATCCCTGACTGGTCAGAAATTTGATAAAGGGAATGATTTCTTCAGCTGCATCCACTGAATATGTGATGAAAACATTCCCTGTCAAAGAGAGGGAATTGAAATCTTTGGGATGTTTCCCTTGAGGAGGAAATCATCATGCTAATTAACTATGTAGCTTACGGCACTCCTCAGGCAAGCTGATGGTTCTTCTCACCTCCTGTGTGACTGCTCCTGGACCTGCTGGACCAGAGCAGTTCACACTGACCTCACGCATCACCTCTGCAGGAAGAGGTCCACACCGAGGCACAGATCCACCGGGAACATATGGAGTATCTTTGACAAGAGGCCTCAGAGGGGGGTTCCTACAGAGGACAAACATGAATGTCAGAGAGGCATATTGTATATTACAATATACCCAAGGCATATTGTAAAATGCTTCCCCCCTCCCCCCCCAAACACACACACAGCAGTGTATTATAATAAGCTTCTATTTTTTTTTCTTTAAGTCCTCCAGTGAAACCAGCCGTGTCTTCCTGTCCCCCCCCCCCCCCCCCCACACACACACACACGCTTCCCTGCTGCACTCTTTTGTCCTGTGAACCCTTTAAAAGCCTGCCTGGCTGTGGCTGTGGTCTGGTACTTGGCTGGGGTTCTGGGCTGTGGGTGGGGGGGCTTTTGCTCAGGTGGCTCTGCACTGCTGGCCCGGGGGTGTCTGGGTGTGTTAGGTGTGTGCCCTCCCTTGCATGGGGTGCTCTCATTGTGGGTGTTGCTATGGTGGACTGGTCGGTCCTTTTGTGGGGGTGGGGGTGCGCTCTTGGTCATCGTGGTGCGCTGTCTGCGGCTGTTCAGGCACTCCTGGCTGATTGTTGCTGCTGGAGTTTGGTGGCTTCTTTGGTTGGGGGGCTGGGTGTTGAGCTGGGGATCGGGCTGGGGGTCTGGATGATCTCAGGGGGGCTTGGGTCGCTGGCCCGGGTTCTGGTTGGTCCTCGGGGCTATGTGCCCGTCCGTGGCCTGTGTCCCTGGTGGTGCGGCTGCCTCCTGCTCCTGGATGAATGCACTGGAGCCTCCCTCTCCTGGTGGATCTCGGAGATCGGGGGTGCCTATTGGGGTCCGTTGGTGAGCTGGCCCCCTGGGAGGGCATTGCCACCTCAATTGTTCCTCCCCATCCCGACGTCTTCCTCCACCCACTCCATCACACCACCACTCAAGCAGGGCCTTGGGGTTCAGTTGCACCACTGAGCTGCGGGGAGGATCCTCCATCTCCGTGGTTCATGGAGACCTGGGCCCCAATTTTATCAAACAACCTAGACACTCATATATAACATTCTCACAACACATGCATATATAGGGTCTGGAGTGGGCACATGGTGGCAATAGGGGGTGGGATGTGTAATCATTCTCACCTCCGGGACCTGTGCCCACTCTCATATGTAGCATGTAGACATTTAGGGTTCTGGGCAAGGGTTGGGGGGGTGAACGGGCACTGCCTGCTCTCTGGGGAGGGGGTGGGTCTGTGTTAGTCGCCACCTCATTCCCCCCTATTTTAAACGCACTATATAACAACATGTATCAACATCTTATTTGAGTGGGGGGAGGGAGGAGTTGGGTCTTACAGCTTTTCTTAAACCCTCATTCTCCATCTGACATTTGGGGGTCGGGGTCGGGGGGGGTAGGCAGCCTGGTTGGGGTCTGGGCTGTGGGTGGGTATTGGGCCTTTGGGGGTGATTGGGGGTGGGGCTGGTGCTCCGGTTCTCCCTGGATTGTTTGGATCCTTTTATCAGGGTTCCTGGTTCTGATGGCCAGCCCTTTGGCTGGGGTGGCTGCCGGGTTCTGGCGGGAGGTCAGCTGTGGATGCGTGTGTGTGTGGTCATTGGTAGTGCATGGCGGCGGTCGGGGGCATGGCTTCACTTCGACGAAGTGCTGTCTGGTCGCCATGATGTGACATTCACGGTGCGGGGTGCTGTGTGTGTGTGTGTGTGGGGGGGGGGGGGGGGGGGGGGGGGGGGGGGGGGGGGTGCTTGGGTGGCATGCTGGGGCTTCTCCGGGCCTGTGGTGTGGGGCTTTAAGGATGCATTGGTGCGCTGGGCCGGTCTTCCTCGGCTGCTGTTCCCTGCTGCTCTGGCCCCCGGCCTGGGGCCGGCTTGCGGTCACTGTTGGACAGGTGGTACGCATGGACAGCCCAACAGAGGCTCAATCGGGCTGTCTCTGTGTGCCTGTTTGTCTCAGGTTGGGTTTTGGGTGGCCCCCCTCTCTTGGACCAGTTTTGGCCCCCCATTTGGTGGGTCGTGCTCCCCCCGGTGGTGGGCCCCCCTGCCGCCGGTGCATTGGCGGCTCTCAGCAGCTGGGGCTGGGTGGTGGGGTGTGTGCAGGCCCGCCCTGGTGGCTGCCTGCGGGGGCCTGGGTGCCCTGGCTCTGTCGGGCCTCTGTTGGGGGGTGGTATGACCTCGGGACTCGGGGCTTGGTATCCATGGCCGGATCCACTCTGGAGGGGCAGGTTGCCGGCGGGGCCTGTTGACTCGTCGCTATGGCCTCCTGGGGGTTTCTGCATTGTGGTTGCTGGGGATCGCCCGGGGCTTCCCTTTGCTTCTCTCTCTGGGGGGTGCGGGTGTCCCTGTTGGAGGGACTACCGGAGTTCCGGGCTTGGGGACCACTGTGTGTCTGTGGTTCCGGGCTTCCCTGCGTTACCTTCATGTTCTACGGGGACGGGTTTATGGGTCCCCACATCCACTATTGAACATTTTTATGAGAAACCTTATAGTGATAAGCATGCTCACACAGGTGTTTAGATTCAGGTGTTTATCAGATACACACTCAGTTGGGTTGTGGTGGCCATCAAATATATATTGTATTACCATGTAATGTATAAAATACTTTCTAATGATGTTATAACTATCATTATATAAGTTGTTTGTTGTTGTGGTTTCTTGGTTTTGTCGTTTTTTTCTCTCTATTTCCACAGTTCTAGAGTCAGACTTCAATGATGTTGATTTGTGTTCTCTTTATCCCTCTCTCTCTCATCAATTCCTATCTCCTTTACATTTTAACTCTTCTCTCACTTTTCTGCTTTGTTATCTTCTTTGTTTTCCGTCCCCGTGTCCATTACATCTGAAACAAACCCAAAGCAAATTCTAATAAAATTCAATTTATATATCAAGTGGAGCATTAAGGCCAGCCATAATGCTCTGCTTGTGAAAGTAAATCGGTTGGGCATCACTTTGACACTCAGACAATAATTCTGAGTGTCACAATGCCGGACAGGACAAGGGGGGAAAAAAAGCCTCTTTTTTTCTGCATTCCTCTTAATACGAAGGATCAGCTGGTCTCTCAACAAAATTGATCAACTTCTCCTGACAGGAGTCAGGGCATAAGGAGGACCCTTACCTTGACGAAAACAAACTGGATTCATGATGACAACTGGTTATTTTGCTGTTTGGCTGGTGAATACTGGATTGTCTATAAATTTGTGTGGATGTGTCGAATCTTGGCAGCGCTCAGACTGAATTTGGGGAGCTGGAGCAGCTGTTATCAGGACTGCAGACTATAGCAGCACACATGAAGGGGAAATGATCTTGGAGAAGCTGTGAGCTCGACTTTTGGCGTAAAGGGTCAATTTGGCTGTTTTGGAGTTCCATCAGAGGAATATATACCAGCGAGACTTTAAAAGACAAACAGCAATTCACGAGTTCTGCCTGACCCAAACTGTGGCCTTGATGTCAGACTTATCTCAACTCCTCCTGGAATGTTTTGAAACAACAAAGATGCTTTGCCTGTTTCCTCACCCCTCCCTTCCCCAAGGCTGTGGACATGTGACAGAACCTCAACTGAGCTGAAGATGAATGTCACCTCTTATCTGGACAATGGCTGGGGGGGCTCTAGACTATGCTACGACTTTCCCTTAAAAATTCAATGTCTTCACCGGCCTATATGTACATGTATAACGTCTGTTTATGTTGCTTTGCTGTGGTAGGTTTTTTTGATGCCTCAAATCGTGCCCTATCTCGGGCACGGCGTGAGAGATCTTTTTTTATACCGTCTCTCCTCATGTTTTCTTCCCTTTTCTGATCTAAACAAAATATTATTCTGAATAAGAATAAGAGGCCGTGCTTTCTATAGTTGCAGCTTCGTGCACTCCGCCCATCTTTCAGACGATTGTACGTACATGTTTGCGTTGTATCTCGGTGCAATGATAATAAAGTTTATTCTGATTCTGATTCTAACTTCAGAGCATTCTTACTGGAGTTGTTGCTCCAGTTGTGGACCTGCAGGGTTGTGGTGTTTCTTGTTGCGATGAGATTCTGGAGGGCAGCGTGAACACTGTTCCACCCATTTTTTTTCCACTGGAACAGGACCTGCTGAGAAATGTAAAAGAGCAGATAAAACTAAAAAGTTCCTGGAGAAACTTTGACGGGGACTGCCAGGCTGCTGTCAATTTAAAATTTTGATTTGACAGTAGTACTATGTGTTGGGGTTCGCTCTCAGCTACAAATACACCACATTTCAGCTGAATTGCTCTAAACATGGCAGAATTATCGTATTTTTTCTTTTAGCTAAGGTGCCATCTTGGATATTTGATTTGCATTAGGAATGTATTACAACTCACTCTCAGCTACAATCATACTTAATTTCAGCTCCGTATCTCAAAGAATGACTGAGTTAGTCAATTTTGAGTTTGCTGAGGTAGCTGTGGCAGCCATCTAGAATCAAAATGGCTCCAAAAGTTAATAATTTCTAGAGATACGTGATGTTTACTTTCTGTGAGTTTCAACCAAATCCAATGAGCTGTTCATGAGATATGTTGCTAACAGAAAGACTAAGTTTGCAAGTATTTCTAAATAAATTGTTCCTCAAGTCAGGTCAGATGCGTGTGCCCGTGCGTGCACCTGTGCGTGCATGTGTGTGTGGGGTGGGCAGGGCACAGTAACTGATGCAGGAGCAAGAAGAGACAAAATCTTGCTTCGAACAAACGTGCTGTGTAAAAACTGTTTTTTTCTTTAATGAAATTTTTGAAGCGCGAGTGACACAAAGATTGTTCACACTCGTGTGAATTTTCACATTTTTACAGCACAGATATATCACGAGTTTAAAAACACTCCTCACAATGTCATCTGAACAAAAAAATTGTCAGAATTATAATGGACACAAGAGTGAAATGGTTGCACTCGCCTTTCTGAGGCGCCTCACGACCAAACCATAACTTCGACAGCCAAGCCACACATACTAGTAGAAGTCTACAAAAATTATTTTTTAAAAATATATTTATTGTTTTATTTCGTATAGGCTTCGCCCTTTAAGGCCATCACTAGTGGGTTTTTCCCTTTGCGCGCAGCTCAGCACTGAAAACTTTAGTCCGTGCCCACCGGCTGTGTGGGCCCCACCCCTGGTCCATATAAATTACGGTGAGACCGGGTAATCAGCTCCCATTTTTTCTTCAGCCAGCTAGCTAGCACTGTCAGTAGAATGAAGACGGAAAAGATGTCCAGCTTTGACCGGCACAACTTTTGCGAAGGATGACTGGGTCTCCACCATGCCGACCTCCTGCCATCCCGGTGAGCTCTTCCTACTCGAGGAGAAGCAGAGACAAGCAGCCTTGTTCAAGGTAAGTGCCAAGGAGTGTTTTTCCGTGGCGGGCCGCTACCCGCTGGACGACGCCATCGCCTTTTCGAACGTGTTTTCCTAGCGGTGAATCGGATGATTCCCTCGAAAAAAATGATATTGGCAGCAGCTCCGCTGAGTGTTTTTCCGTGGCAGGATGATACGTGCGGGACGATGCCACCGCCTTTCTTTGATGTAGAGTCGCGCAGTGAATCGAATGATTCTTCCGTGAAAGGCGATGCTGGAAACAACCTTGCTGCCCCTTCCCTCCTGGAGAGCATAGTGACGGAAGAAGAGCAGCCGAGCGAATGCTCAGCCACCTCGGGTCTTCCCACGTCGGCGACCACACCGCTCCCAGCCGTCTGCGCCCTCCTCTTGGAGCTGCCCGGCATAATCCAGGAGGCTGCTAACACAAAGGGACTTTCCGTCCCTCGCCTCCCTCCGCCCCGATCGGATGATCTGGTTTGACTCCACCCTGGCTTGTTGCCCTGACCCCATCTGGCCTCGCTGTCCAGCTGTGATGTCACACTGGAACGAGGCTGCAGCTAG